CCGCCAATGATTTCTCTATTTGTGTTTTTACGTATAGTAAAAACTCAATATAGTTATTACGTGGCCAATTGTATATTGTACGGAAATCTCTTTTTACCAATAATCCGTAATTCCGTCAATACAATTGCGCAATTATTATATTATAATAACTTTTTCCGACCCCTGGTCTGGAGGGTTTTGCGGGGTGCAAACCGATGGAACAACGCACTTGACGGCCAAAGCTACACCCATCGTTATTCTCCAAAAGTTAACCACAGTGCAGCTCCCAGTCGGAATTCTGATATTCCAGATACGCTGAAGGAATGAGAGAGAAAAATTGAGAAACCGGAAGTCATGGCATGCATTTAACTCGCTTAATTAAAGCAGTACTTGTTGCGCTAGATCTCTGTCATATCAATTCTAAAGGATTGCGAAGATCATCGGTGCGAGTACGGCTAGTGATGCAGCAAATCCACCAAGCTTGGTCACACTGAGTGCCGTGTTGGTGTCACCTGTGGTAGCAATAGCTGAGCTTCCTGTTAGCGTGGACACCGCTGTAACATCCCGTTCAGCCGTCATATCAACTGCCACCGATATCCAAACGAACACACCATCCTCCACCGTATCCCCAACCAGAGAATACTGGAAAATGGGGTCGTAGCTGTTTCCGCTAGCTTCCTTGAAGATGTTGTCTCTTGAGTTAAGTGTAGTGCTCTGTTTGTTGGTCGAGTACGGCTCCACTGCCTCCACCGACGAAATGAGGTCTTGATCAAAGAAAAACTGACCCACATGAGCAACAGACCCACCCGAGTAAGTCTTGTTCGAAAGAACTGTTCCGCCGTAGTTACCGATGAAGTGCACGTGGGTAGTTCTACCAGCATAGTGTCCAGGAAAGATGGAGGTCATTTGAGCGACACCGTCTTCGTCTGTGGGGGTGACACCACGTAGGAACGTATTCTGGAGATTGGTTTTGTCAGCGCTGTTGCCATTGGTACTTGCCACCACGCCCGAGTACACTCCAGTGGCGTTAGTGTGCCACAGATCGATGTACATGTCCTTCACCGGATCACACGAGTTGATATCAATCACCTGGACGTCGACGTACATAGTGACACCAGGCTGTTGCTCACGCATGTCGGTACGGATGTACTCACCACGAACGTAATACGGACCCTCGGTGACTTCAGGCTCTGCAATACAAGGAGCAGCCGAGCCAAAGAGGACACTAGCTGACGTTGTCGCTGTGATGCCTGTAAGACTGGACTTGTGACTTGTTTCCAGTACAGTGGTGACATCAAGACGCCGTTGTCGACGATCTAGGCGTAGTGTCTCAACGGCTTGAGTACGTCGGGCTACGGCACGTTCTTGAAGCCTGCGGGTTGATTGGAGCTTGGAGCACTTAGCCAACGCTACTTGAGCATTGTCTGCGAAGAGTTTACGTTGCTCAATGGAGAGGACTCGTCCCGTAGGTTGTTCGTGAGCCGAAGATGTGGATAGGGCACACGCAGTGATTGCCGCAGCAGCGAGGTAAGTTAGAACCTTCACCATGTCTTACCGGATCCGGAAGTCGCGTGACAGTGAGTTGAGTTGTGAATTTCGCAGAGATGCAAACTGTATTGCAGAACTAACAAGATATGTTTTACGTTACCAAACAGAGTAAAGTTATCCACATGGATAAGATGGAGAAGTAGGAGAGGTTCCTGTATCCTATTTAGAGATAATGCTTTGCTGTTGTTATTTCCCTCTTATCTTTTTTTTTTTTGCTTCCTCCTATAATCTATTTGCGTGATGCCAAAACTGATCTAGACCTTACCCGACGCTTAAACTGCTTCTTTATACTGGGAATACCTCAGAATGAGGTAATAGACAGCCCTCAACGGATTAATTCTACGGTACTGCGTAAGCGTAACCTCGGTCGACATTCGTACGACATTAATGTAAAGATGGAAAATCTGTTAACAAAATTTGTTGCTGAAAGA